TCCAGGGACCCTAGGCATGATGGGGTTCTGTCTGGATCCCAGACTTTGGACTGATGTGATAAGGCCTTTCCTAGGTCCTCACAGGAACAGATGTGGGGCTCTTGACTTGGCCCATGCACTGTCAAAATGCCTTTGGAAACCTGAAACAGAGCCTTATGACTATTACCATTTTGGGGGTTGCCTGACTCCCCAAAACTTTGGCCTCACCTGCATGGGCACAGACAGAATATGATGCTTGATGGATTTGGTGGGACAGTCCAAAGGCAGAAAGGTGACCTGCTACACAGGGAGCCCTGCACATTGTCTGCCCTTTCAATAACTGGCAATTTCATGCAGATGCCCGAGCTCCTGGTGATACCTTTTCAGGCTAGGGAGAGGCTTGTCCTATCTGAAGAGAAGAAAGGAATGCTTGAGGTTACCAGAACTTCTGAAGGAACTCTCTGAGATGGGCTCCTGCTAGGAGCTGCCTGCCTGAGACAGGGCCTTCTCCAAGTTCCTGCACACACAACCCAGCACACAGTGGGAGCAGATGAGTGGCGGGGGGCCAGTGGCCAGGCAGATGGAGGACAGCAGGCAGTGCAGGGACAGCTCAGCAGTTCCTATTTAACGGGTTACCATGTTTGGCTACATTATGACGGTGTCCATCAGGGGAAATTTCACTTCTCACTGCCTGCATCTGGATACGCTATGCTACACAGAATGCTGTCCTCACCCATGAGCTTCTTTGAGTGAACTCCCTGTGGAACCTGAGGGACCATTTTTCCAAGGAACTAGACGAGGTAAACTCTGTGGTCCCGCCCTCACTGAGTTGTTCACAGACTCCTTTCCTCCATACAGAATGGTAGTGGACCCTCCTTTGTAGCCAAAGCAACCCAACAAGTAAGCAAAGCCCTATACCTGGAATGAAAATTACATGGAACTGGCTCGGCGCCTATAGCTCAACCGGCTAAGGCGCCAGCCACGTACACCTAAGGTGGCGGGTTTGAATCCCCAGCCCGGACCGCCAAACAACAATGACGGCTGCAACCAAAAAATAGCCGGGCGTTGTGGCGGGCGCCTGTGGTCCCAGCTACTTGGGAGGCGGAGGCAGGAGACTCGCTTGAGCCCAGGAGTTGGAGGTTGCTGTGAGCTGTAATGCCACGGCACTCTACCCAGGGGGACAGCTTGAGGCTCTGTCTCAAAAAAAAAAAAAAAAAGAAAGAAAATTACATGGAACTTAACTAAAATGGAATAAAGGCCCAGCACAGTGGCTCACACCTGTAATCCCACCACTCTTTGAAGCCGAGGTGGGTGGATCACCTGAGTTCAGGAGTTCAAGACTGGCCTGAGCCAAAGTGAAACTTTTGTCTCTAAAACTAGCTGGGCCTTATGGCAGGTGCCTATAGTCCCAGCTACTTGGGAGGCCGAGGCAAGAGAATCACTTGAGCCTAAGAGTTTGAGGTTGCTGTGAGCTGTGATGCCACAGCACTCTACTGAAGGCAACAAAGTGAGATTCTGTCTCAAGAAAAAAAAATAAAGTGGAGTAAAGTCTTATTGCTGCTTGCCCTTCTCTGGGTAAGGGTAGGCCTTAAAGCAGGCTCAAGTTCAGCCCTAAGAGTTAGTTTATGAGAGACCTTCCTAGCAGCCTAGTAAGTATGGTGATATTATGTGACCAGACGAGAATATAGTGAAGCAATATGTTGAACGAGCGGGTCGGGTGCTAACTACTAAGTGTGAGTGGAAAGCAGAGAAGTGGAAGTCATGGTGAAGTGCCTCTAACAACTTATACCTCCTTGAAACTATGACAAGTGAGCCCTTAAGTCCATCACACCAAAGCAAGGAGGTGTGGCCCCCAGCAGAGGGGCCAGCCTTAAGTGATCTAAAGTATGTGTTTGAGAAAAAGAAAAGTGAAAATGTTAGTATTTCCACTAATCCGTTTGGTTCTTTGGTCTGCCTAAAGGACAGAGGCACACTTCGTTAGTGAGGGTTTCCTAGGCTCCCATCTCTGCTGATGGTCTGTCCTGCTGTAGGGTGCATTATCCTAAAGCTCATTTTGTACAGTTATTTCTGTGCATGGCTTCTAAATTTGCAGAAGTCACTCTCTCAGCTCAGCAGCAGGGGTGTCCAAGCTGAGACCTACAGGCCACATGTGGATTATGTGAGGACTTTTTTGCTTGTCTGTGGTGTTGGACATCATGAAAATTATGAGCAAACTTTTTTTTTCTCATCAGCTTTTGTTAGTGTTTGTGTGTTTACTGTGTGGTCTGAGACAACTCTTCTTATTCTGATGTGTAGCACAGAAGAAAAATGATTGGATACCACTGACAGAGCACAGTGGAAAGCTGTGCATTCAGAGGCCCCTGCATCTCGTTTAACCCAGCCACTTCGGGCATTGTGTCCGTCTCTCTTGTCAGTCCTCAGGGTTGTGGTTATTGCTCATGCTGTTTTGTACCTGGTGGTCTGTGCCTTCCACGTAAAACCTCACCCCAGTTTGGCAAAAGTATCTCGATGACTACGTTGTGCCCCTCCTCCCACAGATATGGAGGATAAAGTTGACAGTGGGGGATATGTAACAGAGAAAATGGCCTGAAAAAGGGTAAACATGTTTTCTGTCTCTAAAAAACCCTTCACCATTTTTTTTTCCCAGACAGACTCTCACTTTGTTGCCCTTGGTAACATGACTTGGCCCATGCACAGCCATGCTGTGGCTTCACAGCTCACAACAACCTCAAACTCCTGGGCTCAAGCGATTCTCTTGCCTCAGTCTCCTGAGTTGCTGGGACAACACGTGCCTGCCACAATCACTGGCTATTTTTAGAGGCAGGGTCTTGCTCTCACTCAGGCTGGTCTAGAACCCGTGAGCTTAGGCAGGCAGTATACCCCTCTAGGCTCCCCAGAGTGCTGGGATTACAGGCTTGAGCCACCACACCCACAAAAACCCTTCACCCTTTTGAAGAACTAAAACCTACATCCCTGCCTTAGGCCAGTCAGAAGAGGCAAGAGAGGCCCTTTGTTCTTTGTGCCACAGAAGATGAGATGAACCCAGGCAGAGGTCCTGAAATTGTCTTAGCTGAAGATAGGATTTATCAGAACCTTTCCCTTAAAACTCTGTACTTCTGCTCAGGAGGACACTGGTACATTGAAACCAGAGTCTGACGGCCTCATTTGCTGGCAAATTAATAAACTCTCTTTCTCTAAAGTAAAAAAAAAACACAACAGTGTCACAGGCATGTCACATAGTATGTTCTGCATCTACAACTTCCTGCCTGGCAATATTCACTCTACACACACCACAGTGGACCATGCTCTGCAGATCCATCACCTGATGCCTCACCTTGGCAGCTGGACAGCCTCAAGTGCCTCAGTCTCCTCCTCTGTAAACTGGGATGGAAATGAGTCCTATCACTAAGAACTCATCACCGTGCCTGGTACAGGGAGGGGCATGGCTCAGTGGTGGCAGCCAGTGTCAAGCCCCAGCCAGTAGGACTTAGTCACCCAGGCCTTTCTTCTACAGTTGTGTCCCTGCTTGGGTGGTGCTGGCACACACTGGAACAGCCTGTCAGGCAGCCCATTCATCTGACCGCAACTGCACCCTCTGTCCTGTTCTGCCACACCACATGCTAAATGCTGGGGTCAAGGAGCCCTGTCTCCTGTTCTCCCACCCACTGCAGGCAGCCTGTTCTCACAGGGGACCGCTAAGTCCACTATGAACACAGTCATTCCTCCCCATGTCGTAGGCATGAGACCCACAGGCCCGACTGGGCAGCAAAGCAGTGTAAGACAACAACCCCAGTAGCTGGCCATGGTCACAGAGACCCTTACAGCTTTCAGCTGCACCACCCCAGAGGAGCCAGCAACATGTGGGACACAGGTTCCCTTGTTCTTTACACAGTGGGGCCCCGCCTGACTAAAAGCAGTGCATGCAGCTGTTCGAGGCTCCAGACTCGGGAGTTACAGCTGGAGGCTAAGTCTTGCAAAGGAGGGAAACCAGGGCCGGCGGGTCTTTGCCGGAGAGAGGTCAAGGCCGGCTGGGGTAGTCACCCCTGGGGGCGGGGGGGAGGGAGGTCAGCTTGGGCTGGATTTGTTTCCACTAAACTTCCTGTGGACCACAAGACGCAGAAGCCAGGAGAAAAGCAACTGTGTAGCACTGTGGATACCGAAAACAGAAGAGACGCCAGAAAAGCTATTCCTAAATCTCGGCTCAGGGTCTGCTGACTTTGACAAGAACTATGGGCAGAAAGAGGAGGACAGAACCTTCCTGACCCCGGGATCGGGAGGGCCTGTCCCCGAGGTCACGACCGGCCCACGGCCAGGAGCCACTCCCACTATCCCGAGTGAAACTCAGGGAAGCACCGAGTGACCGGGAGGCTGGGACCGACAGGGGCACCCCGATGGGATTCCCGGCGCCAGGGCGCGCGGGAGGGCCCGGGGACCGTTCTAGGAGACCTCGCGGGACGCGCGGTGCGGAGGGCGGGGTCTGGGCAGAGCCCGAGGCGGGTCGGGACCCGCGGCCACCCCTGGAGGATCCCGGCTCCTAGCACCGATTCCCGAGAGCACCGGGCGGGGTGCGCCAGGCGGGGCGCGCCGAGCGGGGCCTGTGCGCAGGCGCTCGGGTGCGCGCTCCCGAGCCCGCGGTGGGGGCTCCCGGACCTCACTTCCGGCGAGCGCTCCACGGGCGACGATTGGGTCTGAGAGGGCTAGCTCGCTCCCGGTCTGGCCAATAGGCGGCACCGGCGTAGGTCGGAGGGCGCGGGG